GACTCGACGGCACATAACAACAACAACAACAACATGTACAGAAAAAGAATTTGCTATGTAAACTTTCACCTAAATCACAATAAAAATTTAAAAAATAAAAAAAAATTTTAAAAAATTACAGTTGATTCATATGAACTCTCTCATATCTTGATATATCCAGTCCAACTTTTTCCACACTATAAGAAGACTATTTATAAATTATCTCTAATTTTTTCAGTCTTATCAAATAATACTGTCTTTAAAATTCTAGACCATAATTAACTTTTAAGGACTTCCTAATTCAGTTTGAGAAGCTCTGGTGGCATAGTGCCTAAAGCATTTGACTGCTAAACAAAAGGCTGATGGTTCAAACCAACCAGCCACTCCTTGGAAGGAAGATTGGGCAATCTACTTCCATAGTGATACTGCCTCAGAAACCCAAGGAGGGGTAGCTATGATAGGGTCTGACTTGACAGCAGTGAGTTTGAGAGTTTTAATTTAGTTTGAGTGTAAATCCCTACATCAATGCTGTCATTCTTCAAATTAGTAGTTACATTGTAGACTTTAAAGTTGTATTTATTTATATGGGTTTTCAGAACTAAAATATTTTTTCAAGTAGAATGTCTTTCAACCCCACATCACCTTATCTCCATTCTAACTCTCAGGATAATTTTGTTAAGGAAAATACCCTATCAGGTATAACTTCTATATATGGTAAGCTGTCACTATAATAATGATTTACAAAGAAATCTAGTTTTCTCTTTTCATCTGCATTTCATATGCATGACAATCTCTTCCAAAATATCTACCTTTCCGCTTAACTACCCATTTTTACAATATAATGAAAACATGAACTACTTTATAATCAGAAAAAAAGAAGTAAACATATAACTGAAGGTCCCTGTCTTAGTTATCTACTGCTGCTGTAACAAAAACTCCACAAGTTGGTGGCTTGAACAAACAGGAATTTATTTTCTCACAGTTTAGGTAGCTAGAAGTCTGAATCAAGGATGTTGGCTCTGGGGGGACTTGCTCTTTCTGTCAGCTCTGAAGGAAGGTTCTTATTTCCTCTGAGCTTCTGCTTCTGGGCAGTCTTCATGTGGTTTGGCATCTCTCTTGCCCTATTTGTACATCTGCTCGATTGTTTAATCTCTTATATCTCAGAAGAGATGGACACAAGATACACTCTACATTAATTCTCTCTAATTACCGTAACAAAGACAACCTATTCCCAAATGAGATTATAACCACAGGCATTAAAAAAAAAAAGCCAAACTCAATTCTGACTTATAGCAACTTCCATTGGGTTTCTGAGGTGGCAAACCTTTATGGAAGCAGATTGTCCCATATTCCTTCTGCACAGCAGCTGGTGGATTTGAACCACCAACCTTTTGGTTACTAGTCAAATGCCTTGGGAACTCCATCACCAGAGATCTTTAACCACAGACACAGAGGTTAGGATTTATAACACACATTTTTTTAGGAACACAATTCAATCTATAACTGCCCCATTTCCTCCAGAAATCATTCCCTGATTAACTGCAAGCAATTTAAAAAATTTCTTCAGTATAATTACTAACCTACCTACTACCCACTTAACCCCTTGTCATCTGTTGTATTATATGAACTGTCACTTTATTTCTCTATCAAATTATTAAAGATTAAGTTAAACTCAGGACTTTGGTGCATTTATCTCCAAAAAACCAAAATCACTATAGAAATTCAAAGAATTTATACCCTTACAAAATTCTGAACAAATTACCTACTGAATCACAACCAACACTCGTGGAAACAGCAGTCAAGAAATCAAATAAAATGCTGCATTGGGTAAATCTGCTGCAAAAGACCTTTTTAAAGTTTTAACGAGCAAAGATGTCACTTTGAGGACTAACATGTACCTGACCCAAGTCATGGCATTTTCAATCACCTTATATGCATGCAAAAGCTGAGCAATGAATAACGAAGACCAAAGAACAATCGATGCCTTTGAGTCATGGTGTTGTGAAGAATACTGAATAGACCACTTCCAGAAGAATGAACAAATCTGTCTTGAAGAAGTACAGCCAGAATGCTTCTTAGATGGACAGATTGTGTTTCACATACTTTGGTCAAGTTATCAGGTGGAACCACTCTCTGGAGAAGGACATCATGCTTGGTAAAGCAGAGGGTCAGCAAAAAAGGACAACTTCAAAAGATGGACTTAAAAGTGGCTACAACAATGGGCTCAAACACACAAACGATTGTGAAGATGATGCAGGACCAGGCAGTGTTTCATTCGGTTGTACACAGGGTCACTATGTGTTGGAACCAACTCAATGGTATATAACAACATACTGACTAATTTATTTAGTTATTAGAAATGGGCTATTTCTAGATCCAAGGACCACAAGAACAATAGTGTTTTTTATTTAACCAGACATGACCGGTTAGGAGAAAGGAAAATAAATGATGTGGAAGCAAAAGATGGAATCATCTAAAATTTAAAATATGAATTATGCCTCAATGTAAAGAAAATGAAAATACACTGTACCGATAGAAAACATCATGATAAATGGAATAAAGTTTCAAGTTGTCAACAATTTCATTTGACTTGAGTCAATAATCAGTGTTCATGGAATTAGCAGTCAAGAAATCAAAAAATACATTGTACTGGGCAAATCTTCTGTACAGACCTCTTTCAAGTTTTAAAAAGTAAAGATGTCACTTTGATGACTGAAGTGTTCCTGAATCAAGCCATGGTCTTTTCAATCATTTCATATACATACAAATATTTAACAAGTAAGAAGAATTGATGCATTTGAATAATGGGGTTGGCAAAAAAAAAATAATGAATATACTGTGAACTGGCAGAAAAACAAATAAATCTTAGGACAAATACAACCAGAATGCTTTTTATAAGCAAGGATGGTACGATTTTTGGCTCATTCGCTCTGGACACACCATCAGAAAACACCAATCACTAGAAAGGACATCATATTTGGTAGAGAGTCAGCAAAAACAAGGGAAATGTTCAATGAGATGGACTGACACAACAGCCACAACAATGGACATCAAATTATCACAAAGGTGGCACCGGACCAGGCGACATTTTGTTCTATTTTATAAGGTTACCATGAGCCAGAGCTGACTCAATGGCAACTACCAACTTATTGCAGTGAATTTTACATTTCACCTCTATGGCAGTTTGTTTAAGTTGACATTGTAGGAGATGTTACTTTGAAACAGAACACTTTTTCCTAATTTCTTTTAAAAAAAGACTTCATATGTGAAAAACAGTAACCTCTACAGTAAATAACTACAAAACTATAGGGTTTAAAACTTCAAAATTTAAAAGTTATTCTGCTAGTACAGGTAAGATAACCTCTACTTGCTGAAAAATTAAAATCAAAATACTAATAAACTTGTCTTCACTTACCTGTTACTTTGGTTCCAATAACCAGGGGCAAAGGAATTTCCTCTGGGAGATCTTTAAATTGTGAAACATCTGCAACTTTCCTTTGTTGTAAGAGCCTTATTTTCTGCCGTTTCTGTTTTAATGCTGATCTTTCTTCCTCAAAAAATGCAGAAGAACATCTAGAATAAATTATAAAAATCATCTAAACTGAAAACTGTTCTATACAAAAACAGAATCTCCTTGTACTTTCTTTTCCTTCATTCTTTTGAGTACTGCATTTAAAAACAGGTTCTTAGAAATAATTATTTTTTTCTCTTCAAATTAAATTACCTTTAACCTTTTAAAAACAGGACCTTATAAAACTCAAAAACTCAGATTCAAAGGTCTCGTTTATTCCTTCTTATAGAGTAGGAGGATCTGTTCATTATCCCTTGGCAAAACTGGGTCTGAATACCAGGTCTCTTTAAGTCTAAAGTTCAATGATATTCCCTATAACCCCATGGGCATACTAATATAGAGATTAAAGAAGAGAACTGCCACTGTGCAAACTTTTAATCATACTTCCTGCCTGGAAGTTCAAATACTAAATTCACTTTTATCTTTAAGGCTTGTCTTGCCTCCATCTTCACATTCAAAATATTTAAACATGACTTTTATATTATAGTACAGTTATCACCTTCAAAGGTATTAATGAGCAAGTATTGCCATTTAAATACTCTCTAAAACCAAATAAAAAACAATGAGCAAAAAAGGACACCTGGACCAGCATAATTTACAAAGTGGATCACTGTGAACAGTGATGAATAAGGATTGGAAATAAATAGATAAACCTTAGCTGAGTATATGACTTTTTGCACATTATAAGGTTCCTGGGTGGCACAAACAGTTTGCACTCTACTACTAAACTAAAGGTTGGTGGTTTGAGCCCACCCAGTGTTCCACAGAAGAAAGCCTGGCATTCTGCTTCTGTTAAGATTCCAAAAACGAAGCCCACTACCATCAAGCCAATTCTGACTCAGTGACCCTATAAAAGAGAGTAAAACTGCCCCATAGGATTTCCAAGGCTGTAAATCTTTACAGAAGCAGACTGCCTCATTTTTCTCCTGTGGGGTGGCTGGTGGGTTTGAACCACCAACCTTGTGATTAGCAGCTGAGCACTTAACCACTACACTGCCAGAGCTTCTTCTGCAAATATTCTAAACCAAAAAACCTACTGCCACAGAGTTGGTTCTGACTCTCAGCAATCCCATTGGGTTTCCAAAACCATCAATCTTTAAAGAAGTACATTGCCTCATCTTCCTCCCACAGAGCAACTATCTGGTTAGCAGACAAATGCCTTGCCCACTATGCCACCAAAGCTCAAGTAAACGCTATGGACCAATTCTACTCTGTTAACACATGGGTTAATTGTAAATACATAACTCTGTTAACACATGGTTACCATAAGTCAGAATTGACTCGACAGCATTGGGTTTGGTTTTTCTTTGTACATTAATAACTTCTGCATTGGTTGAATATACATTCAAACAATATATATGGAAGGAGCATGAGAAGATCAAAGAAAGCATCATGGGATTCTAGGGAGTTAAGCAATCTCATGTCATAAGGCCATTTTGTGGTTTTATGCCCTGACATGCCCCATATGGTTTCTTGTGACAGAGATCCCATTGCTATCATGTAACCCAGTCTTAACAGTCCTTACTCTTTTTAGCCTTGTCCATATGATCCCTTGTGATAAAAATTTCTCCCCTTTCCCATGCTAATGCCCTAGAAACTTTTAAGCTGACCAGTAAAACTTCAGCCTGTGAAATCTGGCTAACCTCACCCTGCTTACCACACATAAGCCCTCTCTCTAGTTCCAGTTTGTTGCTGCCTTGTCCCTGGGTACAACAACCTCTGTGTGGCTCTGTGTTGAAGTGTGCTATAGTTTCCTCTCTGGGACCTATGACTGCTAAACTCTATTAGTTTTCTGGCTTTCCTGCTTGAGTCTCACTTCTTCATGCTGCTCCAGAGGCACAATCCAAGACACTCACAGAACTCCTTTGGTTCAAACTTAGGACGGCATAAAAACTGACTTTCTTATATATCATACAGGATCATTTTGCAGTCTTCTTGGCATTAAAAATCCAGGACTCAGACTATTTCTCTACAGTTGACAATTATAATTTGCTTCCCTCCATACCATGATTCTTATACTTTCTCTTTTGTACTCACTTTCCTCAATTAAATTTATTTTTAACTTTTCATTTATGTGATTTGGGTGAAAGTTTAAAGAGCAAATTGGTTTTCCATTCAATAATTCATACACATTGTTTCAAGACATTGTTAGCTATCCCCAAAACATGACACCACTCTTCTCACTTCTTCCCGTGTTTACCATTTCTATTCACCCTTCTTACCTATTCCTGCCTTCTGAGCTTTAATTCTGGGCAAATGCTGCCCTTTTGATCTCCTACGGCTGGTTGTTCTAGGAGTGTGACCTCCTTCACGTTCACCTTACAGGCTTGTCTACTATCTGTTTTAAAGTTGAGTCATGGGGATGATTTCAGCTCCAGGCTTGAAGGGTGTTTAAAGGCCTTATCTTCAGGGGTTCTACCAGTCTCTATCAGACCAGTAAGCCTAGTCTTTTTTATGATTTTGAATCTTGTTTCACATTTTTCTCCCACTCTATCCAGGACCTTTTATCTATTCCTGCCTTCTGAGCTTTAATTCTGGGCAAATGCTGCCCTTTTGATCTCCTGTGGTTGGTTGTTCCAGGGAGTGTGACCACTTTCACGTTCACCTTACAGGCTTGTCTACTGTCTGGCTTAAAGTTGAGTCATGGGGGTGATTTTGGCTCCAGGCTTAAAGGATGATCTTATTGTGATCCCTTTCAGAGTGGTCAGCAGTGGCAGCCAGACATCATCTAGTTCGCCAGCCTGAGGTCATGCAGCCTGGGGTTTGCATCGGTCATTTCTGTGTCTTTGATTTTCTTTACTCTGGGTGGGGTAAGACCAAAAGCTGCACCTTGGATGGCCACTCACAAGCTTCTAAGATCCCAGTCACTACTCACCAAAGTAGGATGTAAAACACTGTCTTTGTGGTCTATGTTATGCCAATTGAGTTTGATGTCTCCTGAGAATACGGTCCTGAGATCCCCCAGGCTCAGCGACTCATTTCCTCAAAGTATTTGGTTATGGCTAACCCAATTAAATTATTATTTAACAGATTTATGAGATATGACTGGCTTGATAAACTGTAAACACATAAGTACATAATTTAATGTTTTATACATATATTTCTACAAAACCATAACCATAGCCAAAATAATGAAAATATCCATCACCCCCAAAAAAGTTTCTTTGTGTCCCTTTGTTAACCCTCTTTGCATTCCTTTCACCTCATACCACCACTTTGCAATCACTAAGCTGATTTCTGTCATGATAAATTATTTCTATTTTCTAAAACTTTATATAAATGGAACCATGTAGTATATAGCACTCTTTTGTCTGGTTTCTTTCACTCAGTGTAATTATTCTAAGATTTATCCATATTGTTGCACATATCAATTGTTCATCCCATTTGATTGCTTATTAGTATTCATTATAGGCCATAATTTGTTTAAGGAGCTCTGGTAGCTTAGGGTATTATGGTTGTTATGTTTGGGTGTCAACTTGGCTGGGCCTGATTAAGTGGCTGGGCAGCTGGTGGTAGTTATTCACCATGATGAGACTGGCAATCAACTCCATGGTGGGATCTACCACAAGCAGCTGAGTAGCTGCCTTTGGGATGTGGTCTGCTTCCTGTATATAAGGAGAAGCTTTAAGAATGGTCTCTAGCCTATGGCCTGCTTGGACCCTGCATGCAGCCATGTCATTGCTCAGCAGCCTGCTATGCTCTGCCGACCTTGGGACTTACAATGGACTTAAGTTAATGGCCTGCCACGTAGTTTGATAACATCAGGACTGTGCCTTTTTGTCAACCTTAGGGCTTCTTAGCCTCAGCAGCCAGCAGCTGTCTGAGTGAAGAAATGCCTCTAGCTCCAGTGGGCCGGGAGCAGGAGCCAGAGCTGGACCCCAAGGTTGAGGGGCTTTTACCCAGCCCCTAGAGCCTGGCATTTTGAACTTGGACTTAAAGCTTCCAAATTATAAGAATAAACTCATCCCATTTGTGGTATATTTCTTGTCAGAGCAGCACTAGGTAACCAGAACAGAATTTGGTACTGAGAGAGTGGGATGCTACTCTGACAAATAACTTAAAATGTGGAAATAGGAGTGGAGTGCGTCCTTGACCCGAGACCCTGGCAGAGAGACCCTGGCATACAGCATGACAGATAGCAGGACAGATGGCAAGAGACCGGCATGAGACGGCAGGAGCAAAGCCGAGAGAACTGACATGAGACAGTGACAGCCTTATCAGCCCACGGAGGAGAAAGCTGGGTGCCACTGGGTAGACAGCTTCTGGAGGAGTAGGTTGCCTTCAGGCGTTAATTGGTAGAAAAGACCAGCCTAAAATGGAGTAGCAGGTTGGCTGGCCCATGGATCAAGAAAGCCAAGTGTCTTTTGGGCAGAAAGATTTCTGATGGAGTGGGTTGCCCTCAGGAATTAATCGGCAGAAGTGGAGAGACCAAGGAAATGGAAGCAGAGCTGCCTCAACCTTAAGGGTAGGACCATGGCCTTTGGGGGTGGAACCACCACAGCCCCCTAGGTTTCAAAGAGCCAGACCTTCACCAACTTGGTTCTGTAGTGTGGGGTGGCTCGTTCATGTGAGCCAGTGAGATGGAGCCATAGCCACTGCCCAAGAGTGAGGGAGTGGGGCTGCCATGCGCAAGAGGGAGAGGAACAGGGCCACCAGGCCAAGGGTGTGAGGTCGCCAGTCAGGAACTAGGGGACTGGAGCCAACCCATGGAGAAGACCTGTACAGATACCACCCACTGAAGATCTGTACAGGTGCCAAGTTGACAAGAGGTGGAATTGGGTAGTTACGGTTGTATGTCAACTTGGCTGGGCCTGGTTCAGTGGCTGGGCAGCTGGTGGTAGTTATTCCCCATGATGAGATTGGCAATTGACTCCATGGTGGGATCTACCACAAGCAGCTGAGTAGCTGCCTTTGGCATGTGGTCTGCTTCCTGTATATAAGGAGAAACTTTGGGAATGGTCTCTAGCCTGTGGCAAGCTTGGACCCTGCATGTAGCCGTGTCATTGCTCAGCAGCCTGGCATGCTCTGCCGATCTTGAGACTTACAATGGACTTAAGTTAATGGCCTGCCGTGTGGTTTGGTAACATCGGGACTGTGCCTTTTTACTTGTCAACCTTGGGGCTTCTCCGCTTCAGCAGCTGTCTGAGTGAAGAAATGCCTCTAGCTCCAGTGGGCCGGGAGCAGGAGGCAGAGCGGGACCCCAAGGTTGAGGGGTTTTTACCAGCAGGGTGACCCATGGTGGACAGGTTTCAGCAAAGCTTCCAAACTAAGACAGACTCAGAAGAAGGAAGAGACCATCCACTTTACAAAGAATTGGCCAGTGAAAACTTATGAATAGCAGTGCTTGGTAAAGTGGAGGGTCCTCAGCTAGATGGACTGATGCAGTGGCTGCAATGATGGGCTCAGATGTAACAAGGACTGTGAGTCTGGCACAGGACCAGGCAGTGTTTTATTGTACACAGGGATGCTATGAGTCAGGGCCGACTCAATGGCACCTAACAACAACAACAGCAACAACAATTTCAAACATCTTTTCATGTGCTTATTTGATATCCTTATCTCTTGGTGAAGCATCTATTCAAATCCTTTGCCAATTTGTTAATTTGGTTGTTTGATTCATATTATTTTGTTTTGAGAGTTAACATTCTGGATCTAACATACCCACTTTCACCAATCAAATTTTATTTAAATATTATTTCTTTTTAACAGTTAACACATGTCCATAGTTTCAGATTTAAAATATTCAAAAGGTAGTGAAAACTCTTTCTAATACCTGTCGCTCAGTCACTCAGTTTGCCTCTCAGAGGGAATTGCTGTTATAAACGTCTTATTTATCCTTCAGAGACACTTTCGGTACACACAAGTAAAAAATGCGTACCAAGTTTTTATGCAAATGTGTGCTATAAGTTTTTGCCCACCATGTAAATCCCTTGTGTGATTATATTCCTAAGCATGCTGTGTGTGTTATATGTGTGGGTGTATCATTCACATGGGCACGTTATTTGCAAAATAATACAGTATATGCTTTTCTATTTTTATTTTTCTCAACTAGTTGTAATACACACTGTTCTGTATTTTACTCTTTTCTTAATTGATCTTAGCAAGCAATTTAATAACAGTATGTGAAAAAGCCTTCTCTGTTTCTGTTTTGTTTTCTGTTAGGTAGATATATAGTTTTCTGTCCACGGTGGTTCCATGGTAGAGCTGGGGTGATGCAAATGTTAATCTGTTCGACTGTTAACTGAAAGGTTAGAGGCTCAAGTCCCCCAGAGGTGCCTTGGAAGAAATGTCTGGCAATCTACTTCCAAACAAGAAGCCATCAAAAATGTTATGAAGCACAGTTCTACTCTGACATTCATGGGATCTCTGTGAGTTGAAATCAACTTGATGGCAACTGGTAGGTGGTAAATAGATAAAACCAAAAAAATCAAACCCACTGCTATTGAGTTGATTCCAACTCAGTGACAGAGTAGAACTGCCCCACAGGGGTCCAAGATTATAATCTTTACAGAAGCAAAACTGCCACAACTTTCTCTGACAGAGCAGTTGGTGGGTTTGAACTGCCAACCCTTGGGTTAGCAGCTGAGTATCTAACCACTATGCCACCAGGGCTCCTGTGGTAATTATGTTTGTGTGTCAACTTGGCTGGGCCTGGTTGAGTGGTTGGGCAGCTGGTGGTAGTTATTCCCCATGATGAGATTGACAGTCACCTCCATCGTGGGATCTACCACAAGCAGCTGAGTAGCTGCCTTTGGGTATGTGGTCTGCTTCCAGTATATAAGCAGCAGCTTTGGGAATGGTCTCTAGCCTATGGCATGCTTGGACCCTGCATGTAGCCATGTCATTGCTCAGCTGTCTGCTATGCTCTGCCAACCTTGGGACTTAAAATAGACTTAAGTTAATGGCCTGCCGTGTGGTTTAGTAACATCAGGACTGTGCCTTTTTACTTGTCAACCTTGGGGCTTCTCAGCCTCAGCAGCCAGCAGCTGTCTGAGTGAAGAAATGCCTTTAGCTCCAGTGGGCCAGGAGCAGGAAGCAGAACTGGACCCCAATGTTAAGGGGCTTTTACCCAGCCCCTAGAGCCTGGCATTTTGAACTGGGATTTAAAGCCTCCAAACTGTAAGAGAATACACTCCTGTTTGCTGAGGCCATCCTATTTGTGGTATATTCTTGTCAGAGCAGCACTAGGTAACCAGAACAGCTTCCTTACCATACTTTATTTAATCATCCCCCTATTTATGGACATTTAGGTGAATGTTCATCTTCTGCTACCACAAATAGCTGCAACAAATAATCTTGTGCCTGTTGTTTCACTTGTGTACAAACACTTCTGTGGTATGAATTCTTAGAAGTTATTATAGGTTGAAGTGTGTCCCCCAAAAAGGTATGCTGGAGTTCTACCTAACTCCTAGTACCTGAGAATGTGACCTTATTTAGAATTAGGGCCTATGCAGATGCAATCAAGTTTAGATGAGGCTATTATGGTGGGCCCTAATCCAGTATTATCAAAGTTCTTCTAAGAAGAAAAGAGACATAAAGATATAGAGGGAGAATATCATGTGATGATTGGGGTGGAAGGGAGGGCAGAGATTTAAGTGATGTGTCTGCAAGCCAAGGAATGGATGCCAAAAGTAATATAAGATTTTCTGATAGGTTAGAAAGCAGGATTAACACTAGAAAAGAAAAGTTATTTAACATGAAGAATAATTCTCAGAAAGTAGTATGTTGGATAGATTATTTTGATTTCTGTTTTTATATCACGTATAACAGGCATGAGAAAGCAATTGAGGAAATAAAAATTCCAACAAAAAATAGCAATAATGTGGTGTATATAATCTGATAGCTTCCTTAAATATCTTTCAGGGCAGTCTTAAAAATCTTTCTGGAACACAGTGGGCATATAGTTAAAATAATCAGATTATGTTCAAAGTCTATAAAACAAGCAAAAATGAACTTGTACATTTAAGTATAAGATTTTGTAAGTACACAAGGAACCTACAGTAAAGTTGGTTAGCAAAATATATTTACCATGTAATAAATTATTCTCAGATGTTATGTTTTGCTATTAGTCATTTAAATTTTTTAAAACAATTAACATAGCTATGATTCTATCAATCAATCCATTAATTTTATTTTAAACAAAAACAAAACATTATTTTTACCTCCGTGGTTTTCCCATAAGCCGCCTGATCTTTCCCCATTCTACTCTTGTTAACTTTCTTGTCTTCAAATTAGGAAAAGATTCCTTTAGACATACACAAAAGTCATTATCGCCTTCAAAAAGTGGTCTGTAAAGGAGAAGTGATATTTTTAACGATTAATATGAAACATGTATTTTCTTAAAAGATATAAAATTCAAAATACACATTCCAATTTTCTACATCATACAAATCACAAAACACCAACCTTTTACTTCTATGCCGTACATATACAAAACAGGCAAAATTCAAAGTGTCACAACTAAACTAAATCCTTGGCATTTATGAAATAAATAATTTTTAAAAGTTACTCAGGGACTAGTAGTGTCTGTGGCTGACATTCCAGGCACACTGAATTTTATTAAACTTCCTATCAGCATGTCCTTTAGGAGGCTATTCTGGCATTGGCATTGTATCTGGTGAGGATAAACAATTGTTAACTACAGAGTAACTTTATCCCAAAGGTAATATCATCACCAAGGAGTCCTCTTTGGGATTAAATCAGTTTTAGAAATCTAGAGGACTCTAGAAGTTTAGTTGTTAGAAATCCCAAAAGAAAGAAAATCATACTAGGACACTAAAACCTTTATGCATAAGGAAAATCTGTAGGCAAACAACAAGGACAAACAATTCTGAGTCTGAAAAACCAGGAAACAGTCACAGCAGGGATGCATAAATGCATTAGGCTCAAATATGAACTTCCATGATTCACAAGTTCCAGAACAGTCAATTGGTTTGGAAAACAGAGGACGGAAATAAAAGGAAATAATCAGCAAAGTAACTACCAATGGGCATATGGACATACGAGCATGGATTAGAAATCTTGCAGAATTGTTCCTAAGTAAATTCTATTGCTGAATTACTGGATTTCAGACAAAAAAAGTCTTACTATGTTCTACATAAACATTTATGTATGACTAAGGGAGCTCTGGTGGTGTAGTGCCTAAGGCACTTGACTGCTAACCAGAAGGCCGGTGGGTCTTAACTTTCCTCGGAAGGAAGATGGGGCAATCTACTTCCATAGTGATACTGCCTTGGAAACCCAAGGAGCGATCGCTATGAGTTGGGTCTGACTCGACGGCACAAAACAACAAGAAGTGTTTAAGAATCTTATCTTTCTAAAACATGTATTGAATCATTTTTACCATTAACAACAATTTTCCTACTCTTATACTAGCACTATAATCTCAAGATTTATAAAATAAGTCTCATTCACTGAAACTAATGGTGCTTTGTTTTAGGATATTTCCACTTCATGGTCTTTGTAAATTATAATTCAAAGATACTTTAATTTTTCACAACAACATACAACTCCTTCCAAAAAAGGGAAAAAGAAAACTATAGGAAATAGAGGATTGAACTTAAATGAGGAATAGAAAAAGAAATTCAGGAAAAAATAGAATAAAAAATTTTTAGAAAAGGTTATAGTTCATAACATTTGAAAATCTTAAATTTCTAATTCAAGGAATATTCATGATATAAGCCATGATACATACTTATCAATATTTGAGTAGAACCATTCATATATGCACCATTTATGTGCTTTCGGAAGCTTGAGCAGGTTACGTAATCGAAAACCAATCTTCTGTGAGGCTTTCTTATCTGGTGTTGACATTGTTGCTGTAAATTTCTATGTAATAAAAAAAAGAGACTAATTACAGCTCCAATAAATGAAAATAAGTATCTATAATATTGAACACATTTGTAAAAAGGTGGTTGTTGTTAGGTGCCGTCGAGTCGGACCCGACTCATAGAGACCCTTCCTTGGGTTTCCGAGGCAGTGTCACTATGGAAGTAGATTTCCCCATCTTCCTTCCGAGGAGTGGATGGTGGGTTTGAACTGCCAGCCTTCTGGTTACCAGTCAAGTGCCCTAGCCACTATGCTACCAGAGCTCCCTGTAAAAAGGTATATTATGGTTAAATACTCAAAAATCTTCAACAATATGCAACACAAATTGTTTTGTTACTGTTCAACAAACATTCTGATTAACTTTTATTAACTTAAGTCTCCAGATGAGATGTATTAAAATACTTAGTTGAATTACTAACATAGTTGAATTAGCTAAAGCAGCACTTAGAGAAAAATTTATAGCTATAAATGCCTATGAAGAATAAACAGCTCAAATAAATAATCTACATTTCTACCTTAAGAAACTAGAAAGAGAAGAGCAAAGTAAACCCAAAACAAGCAGAATGAAGGAAATCATACAGATTAATGCAGAAATAAAAAATGGAAAAACATTACAGAAAAAAAGCTGATTCTTGGAAAAGTTCGACATTATCAACAAACCTTAGCTAGGACGACCAAGAGAAAAAAACAGATGAATACTTTCTTAACCTGATAAAACATACACTGTCCTTCATTTCCTTCCATCCCAATTAAAAAATCAGTAACATGTTCAATGGTAAAATACTAAAAACACTCTCATTAAGGAAGAATATGACAAAGATTCTACTATTATCACTACTTTTTAACACAGTTTTGGAGGAAGTAGCCATTTGGATAAGAGGAATAAAAACTGGAAAGGAGAAGACAAATTACCACTATTTGCAGGTGATATTATTGTCCCAAAAAACTCAAAAGAATCAACTGTAACCATTAAAAACTTAATAGAAAAGTAGATGAAATCAAAATTTACATTCAAATACCAGTTCCTTAAAAAAATCACCCTTTCCTATATGTAATTGGGAAATGGTAAGACAACAAAACCAAAGAACTATCCTATTTACAACAGTGACAATGGCGATAACAAAGATTGAATACCTAGTAATATAGTTAACAAGAAATAAGCAAGATCTATATGGGAGCTCTGGTGGCACAGTGCCTAAGGCATCTGACTGCTAACCAGAAGGCTGGTGGTTCAAACCCACCATCCGCTGCTTAGAAGGAAGGGTGGGCAATCTACTTCCATAGTGATACTGCCTTGGAAACCCAAGGAGGGGTGGCTATGAGTTGGATCCGACTCCACAGCAGTGATGTGAGTTGTTAAGTGGAGAAAGATTTTAAAGTCTACTGAGGGAGCTCTGGTAGCATAGTGCCTAAGGCACTTGACTGCTAACCAGAAGGCTGGCAGTTCAAACCCACCATCCACTCCTCAAAAAGAAGGTTGGGCAATCTACTTCCGTAATGATACTGCCTCGGAAACTCAAGGAGGGGTCTCTATGAGTCAGTCCAACTTGACGGCACATAACAACAACAACGACGACAATGAGGGACATCAAGGACTTAAATTAGTGTGACAACGAACAGTTATAGGATAGATGTCTCAATGCTATTTCCCATAAATTAATTATATTATTGCAATACCAACAAAAAATGCCAACACGATTTTTTCCTAGTCAAGCTAAAGTTCAAATGGAAAAATAAATGTCCAGGAATACATAGGAAAAATCTAAAAAAAGAGTAAGTAATTGGCATAGTACCTAAGGCATTTGACCTCTAACCAGAAGGCTAGCTGTTCAAACTCACCAGCCACTCCACTGAAGGAAGATTGGATAATCTACTTCCATAGAGATACCGTCTCAGAAACCCGAGGAGGGGTTGCTATGAGTCAAATCGACTAGACCACAGTGAGTTTGGTTTTGGAATAACGGCTTAAAAAAAACTAGTTGCTGTCGGGTGGATTCTGATTCATAGCAACCCCTATAGGACAGGATAGAACAGATGTGTAGAGTCTCCAAGGCTATAAATCTTTACAGAAGCAGACTACCACATCTTTCTACCACAAATTGGCTGGTAGGTTTGAACTTCAGACCTTTCAGTTGGTAGCCGAGCACTCTAATCACTGTGCCACCAACCAAACCAAACCAAACTCACTGTCATGGAGTCGGATCCAACTCACAGCGACCCCTCCTTGGGTTTCCGAGGCATAATCACTACAGAAGTAGATCGCCCAACCTTCCTTCTGAGGAGTGGCTGGTGGGTTTGAACCACCAACCTTCTGGTTAGCAGT